ATGCAACGGATTGATTCCATCTAATGATAGAATTATACAATGGGAGTAGGAAAATAAATTTATCTAATTAAAAAGTGTCCTTCCTTTGGCCACGAACAATTTTCAGTAAAATACACTTTCCTAAAAGTGAAGATTGTTTTTTTCCATTTGCGAAAAAGTCAAAGCACGTGATTTCTCACAATTTGTGAATATTTGGATTACATTAATCGTATTATTTCGTAAATAACTTAAAAGAAAGATGAAATATCTAACATACTGAAGACTATTTTTTCACTTCAATAGAAATTAAGATTTAGAACCTTACTATACCCTGCAGCAAAAGCTGTAAAAATTTTTAATTTTTAATTTTCATTGGAGAAATCAATTATTTACATGTGAGAGAGAAATACTGTTTACACAGATATCAAATCCTTCATTTATTACAAAGAGCTTCTGATTGAACTGAATGTTAAGTTGCGTGGATGTTAGTGTGATTAAAGATCCATTCGGATTTCTAATGAATGAATAAATAATGTTTCAACGTCATCGAAAATTGCATGTCGACAATTAAATAATTTTACGCCATTATTGCAGAAATGAACTATAGCACTGAAAGAACTCGTATTGTTTCACGAAATAAGCATAAAACAACGACTGCGATAAGAACACCCGCAAACATTGAAGTGGTGATCTTACCCAAATAACTCACAATCCTTCATTAAGACTGCTTCAATCACTTTCACTTTTCTAACAGTCCAGTGACTCTCGAAGCTTTCTAAATAAGCAATTACGATAGCAGCGAATAATCTCAATTTTACGAAAAATATCAATATTTGCCCTTTAGTGATAATTGCTATAATAACTGTAGTTGGGTTTCCCCGAAATAATAACTTTTAAGGAGGTTACTTCAAAAGACTTTAAGATCGATTAAAAACCTGTAGATGTATTAAAAACATACATTCTCATAAGTTTACAAAAGAGAAAATAACAAGCAAAATTATCTTAAATTTTGCTCCACAGAACACTTCACATTTCAGTGAAAATATAATCAAAATCGATTCAGTCTTTCTAAAGATTACTTCGGATAAAATGATATATAGACAGAAATCGTAAAACAATAATTAAGTACATTTTTATATCTCTACGAATATAAAAATATGAGATAATGAAACAATAATTATTTTGAAATTACTAATAAATACTCCAATTTTCGTTATGTACAAGATTCAAACGCACAACTTTTCGAACACGCAACGATTGATTTCTTTCAGTACAAGAATCATTTAGCCTCTCATCGAACATCTCTGACAAGTCGCCAATTGTGACAACACCTCGATATCTCAACGGCATATCGAACTATGGACCCTAAATCTATTCATCACATAATAAATTTTCCCCATCATCCAAAGCTAAGAAATCGCATGAACAGATGACAGCAACATAATACAGAACGGCCTATGAGGACCTAATGATTTATTGGCGTTTCAAACTACAACTATACCGATAAAAACACCTTTTTCATTACACAAACACGAAAGGCTAGACTTCTTGCAATCCGACAATTCATTAAACCTCTTCTACGTACACCATATATAGCTAGCGACTCCCAACGTAAATACCCAAATCACGGCCGCGCCGTAATATTTCAACGGCACGAAAAATTGGGTATCGACCAATCGACGCTTCTTTGCCATAATTAATCGCAGCATGTTCATCGGAAATGACGTCGAATATTTACAAATCGCTCACGAAGCGAGAGCGAGCGGAAGGCGGAGGGGGGGGAGGGGATTGTCCAAGAGTGGAGACGAGGAGGGGCACGCGAAACGAGGCGAAACGAATGTCCTGCAGGGATTTAATTAATTGATTGATTCGTTCGAATTAACTCGTTTTCACGCCGCTGCGCACAGCACGCTCTGGCGGGAGTGTGAGGCAAAGGCTTGTCTGACGAGGAATATTGGATGCCTGCGGGGCGCTAAAGGGGCGGGTTAATTTGGAGGGCGTATAATATTTAGCGGTCGAGCCAGGTGGGGGTATTGGAGATTTTGTAGTGGATTTGGTAGCCAACCGCACTACGATGCTCCAATGCGGCTGGTTGGGACCACTCGAAAATCATTTGAATTTTTTATAACGCTGCTTTCAATTTAACGAGTGAAGTACTGTTTAATTAAAAACAACTGTTCAGTACAAATTGTGTTCAGAGAACTCTAGAAACTTAAACAATAGTTAATTTTGTTGAAGGTGTGACTTCTGTTGAGAATATTCATGATCTACTCAGAATAAAGAGTGTGATTCCTTGTGTTAAATTTTACTTCATATAATCCAAAAGTCGGTCGTAAAATATTTGTTCACTGATTGTGATGACGTATGAACTCCGTTTTGTAGAAAACATAGCTTTTCTATTGTTCTTTTCTACCTGTTTGATTGGTTTTGGATACAAATATGACCAAATTTGTAGTTTCTAAAATATAGTTTTGAAATATTGCTGGTGTAGTGAATGAATATGACTAGCCTTTCATGTTAAACAGGCATTGCAAAATTTACTCAATGGAAATAAATCACTATTTAACCTAAAGATTTGGACTTACAGAATAAATGAAAATTTGATTCATATTTCACTCGATATCCTGTACTGCCATAGACTTAGAAGAATATTAGATATATCCAGTTTTTTAAACTGGTAGTTAGACTTCCAGACTTTTGCAATTTTCGACAAATCAAGGTTTTCCAGGAACCTTGTGACATGCACTATTCTCTCTTTCTCTCTCTCTCACTCACACACACACCAACGCACAGAATTTTTTTAAATTTGGAAAATGTCTTAGGTGTTTCAAGTACTTCGGTTACAAATTCAAGGGGTCACGACATCTGTCAAATATATTGAGGAATATCAATTTTCTAGAAAATCGGCTGAGCGGTTTAGCCGCTAACGTTGTTTACTGAAGGACAAACGCTTTCCGTCATTCGATTTTTCGGTTTGAAGAACATACAAAACATGGATTCCGGCTACACCACTCCACGTGTTAGAGGATTTTTGTCTGAATTTAGCATATGGATTTATCCACTTTATCCACTTTATCCACTTCGGATTCCACGACCTGTCGACCGACGCCATTCCTAGAATTTGCGGAATACACAGGCAGAATATGCATTCTCTTTGCAATTTGAAATACAGTTTTTAAATAACCACAGTGCGCGGCTGGACGAAAAGGACAAAGGGGGATAAGTGGGTCTAAGCGGGGAAAGGAGGACGAAGAGGCCAAGAGAACAAATTAGGACCATGCCGGTGGAGCAGGTGCACAAAATGGGCAAAATTGGAAAAGGGGAGAAATGGACAGAGAATGGGGAAGTGTGGACAAACTACACAATTATAGTAGTAGAACAATCGAACAAAATGGGAAAATAGGACAAAGGGAGAACATGGGACGATACAAAATGGGACAAAATGAGGCAAAGGGATAAAATGGGAAAATGGGGACCAAATGGAACAAGGGGAAAGAATGGGACAATGGGGGAAATGCGACAGGGGGAGAAAAGAGACACATAAACAAAATTGACAGTGAGACAAACTGGGAAAGGAGGACAAAATGAAATATGGGGACAAAATAGGATAAACGAGACAATTGAACAAATGAGACAAAATGGGGTAAAGGGGCAAGATTGACGTCGAGACACACGGGGTAACAGAACAAAATCAGCCGAGGAGGCAAATGGAAATCGGGGACAAATGGTACATGTGGGACCAATGGGACATGGGGGAAAATTAACGAAGTGAATCAAAAAGGACAAAGGCCAAGAGGGACATATATATCCAAAGATTTATGAACAGTGGTAAACTCGAAGCCCTAGAGTCCTGTAGAATATTTTTTTTGGTCTCGAGCATTTTAAGGGCCGTTGCTAAAAACGCGCTCTTAAAACGTTAGATGTTTGGTTCCTAAGAATCTAAGAGTATTTTCGCCAACGTAAGTAACAAAAACATAAGTTCAAAATATATTCCGAAAATTTTGAGGCCATAGAGAAAGTATTGTCTTCTACTCGCGCATAATGGCTACTATTCACTCGAAGAAATTACAACACTCGATACTACGTCGCTCGTGTCGTAAACATCAACTCGTGAATAATAGCTATCATTATGCGCTCTTTGAAGAATACACTATTCTGCCAAGAACTTATCATTTTTTCGGGCAACATTACGCAATTTCCTCTCTACCTTGTAGCGAGAAAGAAAAAAAACTATCAGTAACTCAAAATAAATGATCGTCAATTAGTTGTTGCGTGACCAATTGCAGACATCATTAAAACTACTTTAACGTCACTCAGGTAGAGACTTCTCTGTGCTGGAAGACAAAACAACAGCTCTATCACGATCTGGCAGCATTGTGACTGATGCCCACATACATCCTTTGGTTGTTCACTCGCATCTCGATGATGAGTCATTGTCATTGAGAGAGCGTGACCTACATCTGACTACATTGTGATGTGATGTATGGTATCCGATGCATGGCTGTCGATTTTATCGCTCCGTATCTACATGTTTTAATTGTCGTTGATCTAACGTGAGATTCGCTACTGACTTATTTCCTGGGCTCGCCTCTGCCTTCCAGGCAAAGTGAGATGTCAGTATCATGTCGTGAAATTGATACGAGTCATAGCAAGAATGGCGTGTACATGTCACTGGATTTCAGAAAGAGAGAGATTTTGAATGAAGTTGTGTTATTGCAGGCATTATATAACAATCTAACTTGATATTCGTGAATATAAAGTCACTCAACGAACTATTATACTACTATTTTATTTATTACTCCAAATACTAAAATCCTTTTTGTCAAACCGTATTTTACATGTTTTATTAATGTTTAATAACCTAAAATATCAATATACTCTTTTATCTAGTGTACGAAACAGATTTGAACCTTTTGCCGCGATTTTTATTTTGTAGGTATACGAAATACAAATATTATCTTTATTGAACATTCAATAGAAACAATTGTTTTATCTTGGTACTGTTTAATAAATTGTACTTATTATTTAACTTCTGCATAATCTAAACTGTTCACATTGCAATCTTCTATATTCATTTCAGAACTATTGTTCAAGTAATTTCTGAGAAAAAATGACATTTACCTATGAAATGTAGTTCTTTCTCAAACGAAGTTTTAAACTTATACAAGCGTTCAAAAATGAGAAATAAACACAACTAACTACTCGCTAAAACGCGTGAAAATACTATAATCACAATGCTGACATTCAATCTACCCAATATAGCACTGTTGACAGTACATGCAATCTACGAAATGAAATTTCCCAACAAAACGTAATAAAACCGCTCTTTTCAAGATGAATTTCTTCCAAGCTCTCCGAAAACGTTTCACGTCAAACTTAGGATAGGTGAAGAGAAATAAATAAAAAACATTTAAAGACATGTCGTCTTTTCAAACATTTTTAACAATAAAAACACCATATAATTTTATACTACTCTTTTCCTTAGGTTGTTTAAAATTATAAATCAGGAACCCACCTCACATTTCTCGTCGTGGGTTACAAGACTTGGTCCACGTCTATGGTAGATATTTCGTTCATTGTTACATGCATTCTCCCTCGTCACGTTGCCGCATTTATTTCAAGTCAGCTTCTGCTAGTCAGAAAGCAAAGGCCGTTGTTCGTGCGTTAATATTTTGCTTATATCACTGCGAGCGCCACTGTGAATGATTCAGTGGTGTATGTTAACTGCTTCGACAATTATCTCAACCAGTTAAGCTAGCCATTCATTGCGGACAGAGACATGCATGGGCCATCGCAGTTAACTCTCAGAACGAGAAATTAACTGACCAAGAGAGAAAGAAAGAAATACAGAGAGAGAGAGAGAGAGAGAGAGAGAGAGAGAGAGCGAACAGAGAGTGTAAATATTGCAACTAATGGAATGAATGTAGAAATTTATATTTATGATGAACTATTGCGAGGTGCAGATTCAATGGAGATCGCAGTAATATTTACCAATCAGCACCGTTCTTGCTCCCAAACAATAAAAAACTTTATCAGACATTATTCACCTTTCCACTGCAAATATTATTGTAACTTATAATTTCGTAAAAAATATCATATATTTTAAAAGGCAAATTAAAATATTACGTGAGTAAACTATACATATATAAACATATTTAGTAATCATTTAGTAACATTATTTAGTAATGACCAAATTGAAGGACATGATCAATGTATATAACTCATCTGAATCATTCACTAACTATGGGATCCTTCGCAAATGTATGATGGGGGCTATGTTATTCTACTGTATTCGTCATTACGCACACTGGAGAATGTTCGCATCAAAATAATTTTTTTTTCATGGGCGGAATTCCAGAAAAGTTATTTTAAATATCTCTTACAACATTTTTTGAAGATAATTATTTAGTTGAAATTACTAGGCGTGTTGCTAGTTTTACTTACTTTACTTAAAACGTAATGTAAGTGAATATGGCGGATCCATTGATGTTACGAGAATGGGAGATGTATGTTTGCCTTCGTAATGTTTGGCTCACTTTAAATTATTTTGTGGAAATTAATGACAATTTTTCTGATATTTTTTTCATGCATCATTTCTTGCATTACTTTTAGTGATGAAACCGGAACAAACTAAGTCACTAGTGAAACTATTAATAATTTCTATTCACACATGCTAGACACACCACCTACCAGATGACGTCATGGATTATCTATCTAGCAAAACATGATTTTTCGTGGACACGCTCTTTGACGTTGTGATCCAGTGTTACTATCTGTCAAGGCATTCCATGTGACAGCTAAGAATATGGTTTACCTGCATTTCAATAGTAATGTTAACTAGGATATATTTTATAGTTTGTTATAAATAATTGAATACGGCCCATTTAATTATTTTCTCTGAAACACTTTAATTCCATTTAATCTTTTCAGTTATTAAATACTAAACCCCCTATAAAATTGCTTGAAACACTAATGCACTTACGTTCATGTCGAAGTGGTGATTGAATGAAAAGTTACACATTAACTATTAACAACTTTAGTCATGAAACTTAATAGATAGAAATTCTAAACAAAAGATAATATTTAAAAAATGATAACATTTTTGAAACCAATTAAAATACTTATTTGTGGAGATATTTTGAAATATATTTATAAGCAATTACACTGAAAATGTGTACCCAAATAGAAAGACAATATAAACGATCCAATGGTTGTTAAGAATACTTTATATATACACGTTGATTTTAACCTCAAATAATCCTTTATATTTATTGACAGGTAAATTGTGGACATTTCAAAATTATTGTATGAATTTAAAATTTATTGGGAGTCAACGCAAGCTATAACTACTATAATTCCAAACATAGGCCGGAAACTAACACGTTGATTTTCAATATCTTTCCAAAACGCGCAGAATATAATGTTTAAAAAATCAGTTTCAAAATCTGAGCTTGCGGCACGCCTGTACATCCGAGCCGCTTATCAACGCGGCCCCGATTGTGCGAAATTTCGCAGCGCGCATAGTAATTTTCCAACACGACTCGGCGCCGTCCCGCCGTAATTCGGGCTCGTATTTCAAAACATTTTTGTAATCAATTAAAATACTTATTTGTGCAGATATTTTGAAATATATTTATAAGCAATTACACTGAAAATGTATACCCAAATAGGAAGACAATATAAACGATCCAGTGGTTGCTAAGAATACTTTATCCATAAAGGGTTGATTTTCACGTCAAATAATCCTTCATATTTATTGACAGTCAAATTGAAGTAATTTCAAAATTCTTGCATGAAAATTAAAATTTATTGGAAGTCAACGCAAGCTATAATTACTGTAATTCCAAACATACGACGGAAACTAACACGTTAATTTTCAGTATCTTTCCTAAACGCGCAGAATATGATGTTAAAAAAATCTGTTCCTAAATCTGACCTTGCGGCACGCCTGTACATCCGAGCTGCTTATCAACGCGCGAACGCGGCCCCAATTGTGCGAAATTTCGTAGCGCACCAGAGTAATTTTCCACGCGACTCGGCGCCGTCCGCGCCGCAATTCGGCTCGTATTTCAAAATATTCCGCAGGGAAAATCGCTCTCGGAACGAGTGTGTCACCGAAGCGCGCGGGGGACGCGCGGGTTGTTATCCCGCTTATCTGGAGCGCCCCAGCCGTTTCCGGGACGCTTGCCCGTCACATCCGCTCCCTTCACCCCCGCTGCGTTTCCCGCCGCCCTCCACCCCCACCCCGCCCCCGCCGGCTACGCGTCAGCCATTGTCCCCACGGGAGCATTCACGGGCGTGTTGCGGCCGCGTGATTGGCTTAAAACGAGCGTCGGCGGTCGCGAGCCGCGATTGTCCGCTCGGACCTCCTCCCCCCTCCCTTCCCCCTTCCCCAACAAGCGCCGATCGGGCCAGGCTGTTTCCAGCGGCTGCCGCACGCCTTCCGCCGCTCGGGGTGCTCGTGGATGGCGGAGGTGCAATGGATGGGATAATACTGGGAATGTGCAGGGGTATTGGGAAAAAAATTGCTAAATACTTTATGTATAACGAGTTTTTCTAATAATACTACCGATTTCTTCCGTATTTTGTTTTCAAGCGAGTCACATGGAGAGGTTCATCCAATATTCAACATATTCTAATTCATTTCTTATGCTATGACTTATTAAATATACTTACGAAAATATAGTCATTTATGTAGTCAAATTATTTTGAGTTACAAATTGGGAAAACCTTCAAAATATTTCCTTTAAATATTTTTCGAGATTTCACAAAATAAGTTTACTGTCTATAACCATATAGAGAACCATATTCATATAATTATATTCTAATTCAGTTAAATCACGTATACATTCCAACTAAATTTTTATTCAATTTAAATTGGTTCTATTTCGGCAACAGGGAAATTATAGATGATCATAGTACATTAGAGAAATTATGTGGATAAGACTATTATACTCCGTAAGTCTATTGTTTTCTTCTGCATTTGAGACCATATTCATGGTAAGTCTTTGGCTTGTGATGGGTAAATGCTAGTAAAACAAGTCGTCAATATTGTTACTCAGAAAACACATTACTACTCAGTTTTCTTTTTAAAAAATGAAATAGTAAAAATATGATTAAGAATTGATTTCGACTGCACTCGGTCTTTGTGTGTAAGACATAATTGCCGGCATTCTACCGGCAATGCAGTTTACTGCATTTCAATTCAACACGTCACAATTGAATAGCTAGAGTCCCACACGAGAGGTGTCAAGTAACAAAGGAACCGCGAGGCTGTGACAGTTGCCGATCGCAATGCGCGCATATGCGTGATTCACCAACGCCTGTGCTCTCAAAGTCGACCTCCGGGCCTGTCCTATGTGGTGTCGCAAAGCTTCGGCATGTGTCTCTGAAATGCCTCTGTCAGAGCTAATCGGCCTTTGGGCTTGAGACGACATAATCAGAAGAAAGTGATAAACGGCGTCTTGTAAGAATACGAAATGTAGGCATCGTTTTGCCTTAACACAAAATTAATAATTCTGGATAGTGATAATCACAGAGCTTTTTATTATTGATTTCACAGTCTTTATAAAAACCCATAGGGGTTTTCTTCCAAAGGCTTCGAAAATCTTAGATGAATGTTCTGCACGTTTGCACAGCAACCGCACGTTGAAACTAAAATATCTGAGAAAATATGACCTCGGCTCTAGAATAATTAACGCAGAAAAATATATAATCCAGAAAAAATGGATGTCAAATTTTATGAAATACACATTTTGAAGTCATTGATACTGATAAAGGTTATTTAATGTGCTGCTATTGTGTGGTCCATGATTAACATTAACACCTAAATCATTATCAAGATTGTCTCCAAAACGAATATTATTTTTTAATCGCTCTGATAGAAGCCGATGTTCTGCAAATTCTGAGGGAATCTTTTAACTTTTGTTAGTAATCCCTATAAAGTATTAAACATAGTACTTGTCTCAAAAATTGAACCATTTTTCCCAAGAGAGAATAATGTGCTAATAAATATGGCAAAGCCTGTAATTTTGTTTAAAAGCTATTTGCAAGAAATCTTTCAATACATTTCTACTACCGGTTTAAAACCCAATTTATTT